GTGATTATTTATTCTTTTTTTTTGTTTTAATATAAAAATACCATTTTGCCCCTGTATTCAACAACAACAAAATTAACAAAATTGACGGCAGAACCATTTGTCCTAACGAAAGTGAAGTTAAAGGATCACAAGAACGATTTTGGAAATTGAGGGACTCAAATGCAAATCAGGTCTAAATTCATGAACTAATAAAATGGTTAACCCAATATTATTGTCGGTGGTGGGGTGGCTTGGTTTTGGATAGAAACAAGCAAACGGTCTAAGTTTTGGTAAAGGGCAGGCTAAAGGTAAACTGGGCCTCACCTCCCCATGCAAACACTTTCCTCACTTAAAAAATCTGTTCAAAACCGCGTCCTGTAAATAATTCCCCTTTGCATTTATGAGAAATCTAACTGGGCACAGCTAGCAAATTGAACCTTCCAATCTCCTTCTCTTCAGTCAGAACCACATCATCTCCACTACTATATAAAGCACAAGCCATGCTATATTTCTATGCACACCAAACTCTCATTTCAAAGCAATATAGCTCTCTCTCTCTCTCTCTCTCTCTATATATATATATATATATATATCACTCCATCTGAAAATTTCTCCTCTCTTTTTACTCATTTCCAAAGAAAACCCATGGCTTCCTTTAAATCATCTCTTTTGTATATACTACTGACTGCTCTTCTTGCTGCTAGCTCTTTGGCGGTTGCCAATGCTGGTAACTTCAACCAGGACTTTCAGATAACATGGGGAGACGGTCGAGCTAAGATTCTCAACAATGGCGAGCTTCTTACTCTCTCACTTGACAAAGCCTCTGGCTCTGGCTTTCAATCCAAAAATGAATATTTGTTTGGCAAGATTGATATGCAGCTCAAGCTTGTCCCTGGAAATTCTGCTGGCACTGTCACAGCCTACTATGTAAGTTCATCTTTGGAATATTTGTTCCACTTTCATTTTCTTGAAGCTTTCTTGTATCTGACTGATTTATTGAATTTTTTGTTGATTTTTGCAGTTATCCTCAAAAGGGTCAACCTGGGATGAGATAGATTTTGAGTTCTTGGGGAACTTGAGTGGTGATCCTTACATTCTTCACACCAATGTCTTCAGCCAAGGCAAAGGAAACAGAGAGCAACAATTCTATCTCTGGTTTGACCCAACTGCTGATTTCCACAACTACACCATACATTGGAACCCCACTGAAATTGTGTAAGTTAACTTACGGTAGAGGCACCTTCATTTGCAGTCTCAAAAGGGTGAAAAATCATTCTTTTCTGTTTGACTGGAGACACACATGCATACATACTGCTCTTCTGAATTGAAAAGCTTTTCCCCAATAAAGGCTCATTGTTCCCCTATCTCCCTTAAGATCCTGAAAAAACATGATAGATTCACTACCACAATCATTCAACCTGATTTCACAGTATATTTCTACTAGTTCCATGAGTCATGGAACCAAACGATTCCTAAACCTCAAATTCTCTTTTATGATTTCAGGTGGTATGTTGATAGTCTACCAATTCGTGTTTTCCGAAACTACGAAAACCAGGGGATTGCTTACCCCAACAAGCAAGGGATGAGGGTTTACTCAAGCTTATGGAATGCTGATAACTGGGGGGGGTTTCACTAAAATACCCAAAATGGGGGCTGAAATTATAAAAAAACACAACACCCAAAACACTTTATAAACACACCCAAAACCCATCATTACATACACTCAAAACCCATTTATAAACACACCCAAAAAATATACAATTGTTGATTTTGGGTGTGTTTCTATGTTTAAATAGTGTTAGGGTTTTTTTATAAATACATGTCTAGGATTGAATTTATTTATAAATTTGTATAAATTAAACCCATGTTTTAATTCTTTAATCTAAAATTCTTTTATTCTTTTTCCATGCGTACCTTATTCAGTGTATTTTTTTTTTTTTGGGGTAAAAAATTCAGTGTATTTTTGTTGTAATATAACTTCACGTTCTAATAATGAGTAATGCTACACTTCTCACATTTTTATCCCACATTTCTATACCACATGATGTGGCACGTCCATATGATATGTCACATCAATTAAATCAATGAAGTGTGTTTTAATTCAGGCAATTAGAAAAATAAATACGGGAATAAATCATAAAAGAAAAGAAAATATTAAATAGTTTTAATTGATGTGATTATCCACCTCATCTGCCACATAAGATGGTATAAAGAATTGGTATACAAATGTGGGCTTCCCTTAGGCCTGACTCTGATTATACAGGATGCCAATCTCAAGGACTTTCTATAGGGTTGATTGGCTTGCCATTGGGCCCATCGAGGCCCTGCATAGTTAGTAAAATATAGATAATATATTATAAGTACGTGTATTATTCGAAAAATTTCTTTCAAATATAGGGTGAAAAATTCAACCATTAAATAAAAATAAAATAAAATATTATTTAATTTTCTTATCTCTATTTTTTTTCAATATTATGTAAACAATAAGGATAACATACACGAATAATGTGCATTATTACAATATTCTATAAATAAAAAAAAACATGTATTATAATTGAAAAATAACTACGTATACAGTACACAAATAATGTGCTTTCTTAGACATGTTAGAATTCCTAACCCTAAACTTGGTCCATTTTCTCCTTGCTGACAACCAACCCTTCCTCAGTTAGGGGTGAGATGGCCACTACACCTCCTCCCCTCCACCCCTCTTCTCCCTTCCTCTCCTCCTCTCCCCTTCTTTTCCCATATTTTTCTGTCCCTCTCATCCTCTCTCCCTCTCTTTCCACTTTCCTAGAGCTCTTTTTGGTCTCTCTCTCCCCTTCCTCTTCTCCTCCCCTTATCCTCTACATACAGTGACGGACTCAGGATTTCAAAATGACGTGGCCTAAATTTACCTTACGTACAAACCTGCTCGACGGTACGATTAATACTTCATAAACCCTAAATCTCCAAAATTTCAACATCAACAAATTTAGAGAAGAAAATTAAAGATGAAGAATTGAAGATTACTTCCTTTAATTAAGTCTTCAAGAATGAGATGGGTGATGGCTTTGGCTTGCACTACTTGCAATAGGGATGATTTTTTTTTTTTTTCCGAAGAACAGTGCTTAGGCAACTTGGCAAAGAGAGTGCTTAGGTAATTCAGGAAAGAGAGTGAATGTTTTTTGCATAAGTGGTCTCGTGTGGGTTACTTTGCATTTGTTATTAGTCAAACGTGGTGTAGTGTAGGTTTGTTAATGAGATTTTAATTGGCTGGGATGGGGATGTCACGTGGGCTGGGCTGCGGTATTATTTTAGTCTACAAAAAATAAACTTACCTAGCCTGCAGCCTAGGTTAGCCTGGGTGTAGGACCGTGCATGTCTCCATATCTAATTGGATCTTAGGTTTTTATTGGGCACGCGGTTGTGTCCACCATTCGTTGATGTGTTTTTTCCCCTATAAACTTTTGGTTCGTGATAGTATGAGCTTCATTTACTTTTGTGGTAGAAGAAATTTATTCCCCCTTTTTCTTTTCTTTTTATTAAAGGAGAGCATCAAGAGCTCACATACAAGATGAGTGTATTGGTAAAGTTTTTAACATAAAGTAAGCAAGAGAGAAATGTTTGACAAAATCTTTCTCCTCATTAGGCTACCCATTCATAAACTAGGTTACCCATGGGTGGGTACGGTTCCTATTCTATTATTACACAATTGCCCGCGCAGTAGAGGAGCTCTAATCTGGATGGCAGTTTGCTTATTAAAATATTCAGATTCAAGATTTTTTGGTAAAATTGACATGGATAAAGTTGATGAGTTTTTCAATTTATTAATTCCTAAAACTATTCTTGGACTGTCATATACTCAAGGATCTCGATGAGTGATAAACAAGACTATGATCTATAATACGCTTTGAATGCACTCGAGACTTTTCTGATGCAGATTGTAAGAAGTGTCTTCACATTGCAATAAGAGAATTTCTAGATTATAATTGTGAAAATATAGGTGGACGTGTTATTTTTGGGAGTTGTTACATTCGATATGAACTTTACCGCTTTTAAAGAAACGTGATTAGCTTGCCAGTAGTTACATAGGAAAATTCTTATGTGTAAAATGGCCTCATGGATATGTGTGATACATTTGGCTATATAATGCAACGCAGGAGGTGCGAGCTCTATAAAATATAACGAGGTTGTGTCATGCTCTGGTGATGCCACGCGTTAATTTATAAAACAAAATAAGAACTTAAATAAATTGAAAACAAAACCAGCAACCACAGCTGTAGGAGATGCGCACAATGGCAGAGTCTGAGCAATGCCAACTGTTCCAAAAAAAACAATATCCATATCCATAACTTGTCTATTTCGGATTAGACAAATACTAAAAAGTAAAAAATTAATAAAAACTTGTCCTTATCTTAGTACACAAATTCATTTTCCACTCTGCTAAAATAAATAAATAAATATATGTTCATTTTCCACCGGGATTTCGAGGCAAACATTACATTCCTCACCTTCCCACCTCCCCAACAACTCCAATGAAAGTTTCTTATTTTATTTTTCTCTAGCACTAACATCTTATATTATTACAAGATTAAAAAATAATAATATTTTTTTATTTAGAAATTTTAGGATTGCATTCATAATTCAGTTAAAAAAGTCACTAGCCACAAAGGGCTAATACAAACTAGCCACAAAGGGCCATTATAATAATGGAGAGGTATAATATCAAAATTAAGACAATCTAGTGCACCTCTACTTATGATTGAAGAAATTCTGGCATAGGCATCCTAACTAAGATTGCAAACTCAGAATAATGAAAAAGAGTTTCAAAAAAACCAAACCGTAACAACATAAATAATACTCTCACAAAGGAGAGATGAACCTCTCACAAAGAAAAGATGAAAAGCTCTTACAAAAGGAGAGGTGAAAACTACACATATAACCCAAAGAGTCTCTGTGACTTATTACAAACACAAATAAATCGCAAAAAGGATGGTGGTGGAAATCTGACTTCAAGACGCAGCTGAATGTGATAGTTAGAGGAAAATCATAGCAAAACGAAGACAAATAGGGAAAACATTTTGTCTCTGAAAATGAGGGAAGAAGAAAGGGAGGAAGAGGAGAGGGGAGAGGGAAGGAAGAATAGTAACTTCCTCCCCCCTCAAAGTGAAAACGGCTCTAAGAATGTTTTTTGAGAGAGATGGACCAGGGTTTTTTCAAATTAACCTCCTCTAGCAGTCTTCGGATTCTAATACAATTAGAATTATACAAATTTATAAATAAACCCAATCCTAGACATGTATTTATAAAAAAACCCAAGCACTATTTAAACATAGAAACACACCCAAAATCAACCCCAAAGTCAACTTTTTGGGTGTGTTTATAAAGTGTTTTGGGTGTTGGGTTTTTTTATAATTTCAACCTCCATTTTGGGTGTTTTAGTGAAACTCCCTTAGAATTATTATTAAGTGACAAATTTTTTGAAATTTAGGATACAATTATCTTATTTCTTGTTAATTTTAATTAATAGTGTATTATGTTTTATTTGTTTTGGGTGACACATTAATCAGTTTTTTATTTTGGAAAGCCAAACTTGTCATTTAACTCTTTGCCCTCCATTTCCTTGAAAAAAGAAATATATTTAAACAACTCAACTGTTGTGGTGTTTTTTAGGTGTTTAACTTCAGGTTAACACATAACAGAAAAAAAATTATTTAATTCTCTCAAAATATTTGAAGATTACTTTAGAGTAAAATGAAATAACCGATTTTAAGTATTATTTTTTTATCATCAAAATGCCTTTTGGCGGTGAATGGAGGTTCAAATAAAATAATGGCACAGTGTTTAAAAAAGGATGACAAAATGCTGTGCAATGTCGTCTCCTACTAATATTAATGCCAAAATGCTGCGTTCCATACAGCTTTGTTGTGCGTTTTGACAACCCATTCGAACAACCGCCAAAAGCTCAAACCTCTGTTTTTATTTAATTTATTTATCTATATATTACATAAATACCACCACCCTCAATCCCTTCATTTCGATAACTCACTTGTATCACATCCAAACTTTGACTGCAAAACAACCGTCATGGCTTCTTCTTCTCCACCATCAAAATACAGATTCTCCCTTGTGTGTTTGGTGCTTTGTTTTATTGTTGGCTCTTTGGTGGCTGTTGCCTCTGCTAGTAATTTCAATCAAGATTTTGAGATTACATGGGGTGATGGCAGAGGTAAGATTTTAGACAACAACGAGCTTCTTATGCTGTCTCTTGATAAAGGCTCAGGCTCAGGATTTCAATCCACAAATGAGTATCTGTTTGGCAAGATTGATATGCAGCTTAAGCTTGTCCCTGGAAACTCTGCTGGCACTGTCACTGCCTACTATGTAAGTTTTAATTTGTGCTAGCTCTAATTAATATTACTCTTTGTCTCGCATTGGCTTGTAGCTCAAGTCGTTAAATTCAAGGTCTTAGGGTCGAATTCCCCTCCCCCAACATTGCTTTGTAAAAATAAAATAATAATAAATTTAACTCCTTGTATCAAAAATAAATTAAAGTTACTTTTTGTTTGTGAATTTGCAGTTGGCCTCAGAAGGATTAACATGGGATGAGATTGATTTTGAGTTCTTGGGGAACCTAAGTGGTGATCCTTACATTCTTCACACGAATGTGTATAGCCAAGGCAAGGGCAACAGAGAGCAACAGTTCTACCTCTGGTTTGACCCAACTGCTGATTTCCACACATATTCAATCCTCTGGAACTCTCAACGCATTGTGTAAGTAGCCGCCAACATGATTTTGCACTCAAATCATTTACTTCAAGAGTATTTTCATAGTCCTCCACAGTTGTCACCATAATTTAGTGGCTTGAATGATATTGGACTAATGCACTAGTGGTGAAGTTATAAATGATGGGCGGAATGTATTTTATTAAACAATAGTCTATATTGTGTCTTACCTCATTTAGACGGGCGAGACTCGTAAAAATAAAAACTAGTTTTGAACTCAACTCCAATTCAATCCAGGCCAAGCCACCCAACAAGCTCGGACATGTCTCTATTCCTACGAAATTTATGACCATGTGCATGTAAAGTGACAATATTTTGTAAACAAATAAACAATAATATCTCTACTATAATATTATGATTTTTTTAATTTCTAGAGGTATTAAAATGGTGGTGTTTTTCTTCTCTATGTCAGCTTCTCAGTGGATGGTACCCCAATAAGGGAGTTCAAGAACTTGGAGTCAATTGGTGTTCCATTTCCCAAAAACCAGCCAATGAGATTATACTCTAGCCTTTGGAATGCAGATGATTGGGCTACTAGGGGTGGTCTGTGTTAGTACGAAATTTGTATTGTCATTTCCTAGACTTGTTTACTGGATGTTTTGGCACAACTCTTTCAAACCCCACACTTCCGAGGCATGCCCTGACCATATGAGAATCTTGACCTCAGGTAAATCATGACATAATCATGCATTCATTATAGGATTCTTAATTGGAGTTATTTTTCACTTAAAGTATTTTTATCTTGATCTTATTTTTAATAGGATTAGATTTTATCTCTTGAGATTACTTTCCTAGTTAGACTCTATTTTGGTTTAAGTTAAAATTATTAAGTTTTCATCATCTTGGACTTGGAAAGGATGTTTGAATGAATATCCTATTTGGCTTCGTTGTTTACATATTGATATACACTGTTTTGTTGGATATCAATTGATGATTGGATAATCATCCCTGATAGTACAAAAGATGACGAAATAGAATAGGACTTTATTTCAATCAAATCTGATTTGGCACGTTGGTGAAATATTAGCTTTTTGAATCATCTCTTGTAATACAGCAACATAGTTGTATAAAGCCAAGGGTGCATCTCCTTCTTGGAACGGTCTTTGGAGATATTTGTTTTGAGCATATAGAGTTCTAAGAAAAGCTATTGTGCGGATATTTGAGATAAATCATCAAGTGTTCAATGTTTACTTGGTGATTTATCAAACACTTTAATCATTCATATTGCATTCATATGCATGTCGGTGACTCATACGGTTGAGGGCACCAAGACCGTGGTGGCGGTTTTCCTCCGGTGAGCTTGAAGCAATCGTGGCCAGTATTGCGTTCAACATAAGGAGTGTCGAAGATCATCCCGTGACAGAAGTTGAGTTACGAAGAAGTCGGTAAACATTATCTAGAATGTGTCTAGGATAAGTGTGTGAGTACTTCTTGTAATCATCGTTCTATAGTGGATTTGTGTTGGACTGAGGAGTCCCGTGGATTTTCCCCAGAGGTGGGGTTTTACCACGTAAAATAATTCTCTGCGTGTTCTTTTATTTTATGCCCAGCACGTTACAGGATTGATAAGCCATATCAATCCTGCTACCGAAGTTTATTTTTATTTATTTGATTAGAATCTTAAATTGGCCTATTCACCCTCCTCTAGGCATTTTGAGTCATCCTGCAGGTATTATCAGTCTGGTTAAGACAGACTGGACCAAAGCTCCTTTCGTCGCCTTCTACAGGAACTTCAATGCCATTAATGCCTGCGTATGGTCCTCTGGGGCATCTTCTTGCACTTCAAAGTCTCCATCTTCAACTAGCTCAGCTGGCAATACATGGCTTTCTCAAGAGTTTGATTTGGCAAGTCAGGAGAAACTGAAATGGGTGCAAAGAAACTACATGATTTACAATTACTGCAAAGACACCAAGAGATTTCCCCAAGGCGTTCCTCAAGAATGCGCACTACTGTCTTGAGAAACTGAGAAGAGAGACATTGATCGATCCTTTTTTCCGCTTTGATGTTCCCTTTAGGTTTTTAAATTATATCTTGTATGTCAATGTCTAAAGATATTTCTCTTGCTTTTAATAAAAATATCCAAGGTCTCGATTAGCCTCAGCTAGGGAAACAAGATTGGAATCATAAAATAAATAAATAAAAAAGCAGCGCGTAATATTGCCGTGTGGCTATACTATTTCTTTTAAAACTTTTATAAAAGAAAAATTAGAAGAATGGAGTATAGCCGTGCATCTATACGATTTCTTTTTTAAAAATTTTAAAAAAGCGAGTATAGCCAGGCGGCTATACGATTTCTTTTTAAAAAAATTAAAAAAGCGAGTATAGCCATGCGCCTATACTATTTCTTTCAGAAAAATTGAACAAAACGAATGTAGCCGTGCCTGTCTTAAAAAATTGGAAAAATGTGTATAGCCGGTCGGCTATACTATGTCTTAAAAAAATTGAAAAACCGAGCATAGCCGTGCGGCGATAATATTTCTTTCAAAAACAATTTAAAAATGAAATTAAGAAATAGGACCCTCCTAGATGCATTAGTTCATACTTTACAGTTATCAATTTGGTATAGCCGAACGGCTATAAGAATAAAATACCTACACATTTTATTCAGCAAATTACAACTTAAGAGTTAGGCCACTATATAATATTTTAATATAATATATTTAAAAAAATTTCATATATATTATTTGTATTCAATAATATGTGTGAATTTCGTGTATAATTTGTGAAGTGTTTGTGTATTATAGAAAATTTTATAAAAAAATATATGTATTAAACATAAAAATATATGTACGTTTGTACATATTGAGTACAAGTATAGCCGCCGGATATACTATTTCGTTTATTAAAAAATTAGAAGTATGAAGTATAGCCGCGCGGCTATACTATTTCTTCCAAAAAAAATTAACAAGAGAGCCGTGCGGCTATACTATTTCTTTCAAAAACAATTGAAAAATGAGTATAGCTGGTCGGCTATACTATTTAATATAACAAAATTAAGAAGTAGGATCCTCCTAGTTGCATTAGTTCATACTTTATAGATATTAATTTGGTATAACCGCGCGACTATAAGAATAAAATACGTACGTGTTTTATTTGGTAAATTACAAAATGTTCAGGCACTATATAATATTTTAATTATAATATATTTAAAAAATTGCATGTATATTATTTGTATTCAATAATATATAAGAATTTTGTGTATAATTCAAGAATTTTTGGTGTATTATTCAAAATTTTATAAACAATACGTGTATTAAACATAAAAAATGCTTATATACATGTTCAATAGCCGTCTGGCTATATTATTTCTTTAAAACAAATTAGTATAGCCGGGCGGCTGTACTATTTCTTTTAAATAAATAAATAAAACCGAGTATAGCCGCGCGGCGATATTGTTTCTTTTAAATGCTTGGACTTTGTTGGATTCAGATGCACAACATAAGACCCAAGAAAACGCAAACCCCATTCTTCATTAGCCAAAGCACGATCAAGTCATATGTGAATCTCCTTTGGGTTATCCTACCACCAATTCAATTTTGGACCCGTAAAACCTAGGTCCCTTAGTTGGCAAGAATCAAGAGCCTATCGAAAACCTTTCATTTGTTGCTCACTGCTGGGTTTTCCCCCAATCCTCTCATCAACATGTAAAATCTCGTTGAAATCCTCACAACACACACGACATAGAAAAGGAAGTACCCAGACTCTCTAGGAGGTCTCATGAGAGGTGACAACCAGTAGTAACTGGGTGACCATAAAACCCCGTAAGGCATCAGCGTCTTGCCATTCTCAAGGCCTCAACCACCATATCAATATGGTTGAGACTGAAGGATTTTGGCACCATATTAACCTCCTTCATCCACATCAAACATAAACCCCCAACAGTGCCTACACTCTCCATAACAATATGTTGGCGAGTCTTTACTTAGTTAGGATTTTTTAGTTACTTGCTTATTTTTATAGTCCTATTATAATTGAGATTATTTCCTATTATAATTTATATTTATTTTCTATTGTAATTTGGATTTATTTCCTATTTTATTTAGAGTTGTACTTTTTTATAAATACCTCCATATTAGAGAATAATAAAAATATGAGCATATATGAATATTTGTCCTACTTTGTTTGACATGGTATAACAGCCAGGTTTTCGTGACATCTGCTTGCATTCTCCTTGTAATTTAATTGCTTTCCTCCCCTCCTCTTCAAGGGGGGGCAAGGGGAGTGAAAATGATATGTTTATTGACGTATACCTATTACCTTGGTGTATTCCTATGAAGATGTTGCATATTTCTTGACTCCGACGACCCCTTTTTTTTTAAGGGGAGAGGGAGAATGAAGAAAAGTTGTGTTTGCGTGAATGACCTAAAGTTGATATGGAAGAATTTTTCATCGTTTTTAGTTTCCGTTTCTATGGTTATTGTCGATGATGTTGTTGTGTTTTGAGCCGCTGCCTCCACCCCGCCATTCATCACCATGTCGAATGTTGATACCTTTATTTCTTCACTTCTCCTGGTTCTACTTCACCTAATGCTTCTCCTACTCTTATTGTGATGATTGAATCTACTTCACCTACTGCTTCTCCTACCCCTATTGTGACAGTTCAGACTGAATTGTCCACCAAACTACCCTTTGGAATTCAAATTGAATGGATCCAACTATGCAATTTGGGCTTCGATAATCGAACTCTATGCTACTTCACAAGGAAAATTGGATTACCTAACTCGTGACTCTGATGCCGATTCCACATATCTATAATTTGGAAAGTGAAAAATTGACGATGCTACCGTGAAAATTTGGATGATGCACACTATGGAATCTAGTTTGTTGAATGTGTTCTTTGCCTTTCCTACTGTCGTGCTCACAGGGTTTCTATGTTCTACCTTACCTACAGTTGTGCTCACAAGGTTTCTGTGTTCTGCCTTGTCTACTGCCGTGCTCACAGGGTTTCTGTGTTCTACATTACATATTACCTTGCTCACAAGGTTTCTATGTTCTGCCTTACCTACTACTATACTCACAGTATTTCTATGTTATGTCTTACCTGCTGTCGTGCTCACAGGATTTCTGTATTATGATTTTATGTGTTCTTCTATGTGCCATATTTGTTAGGGTTTGTCAGTTGTTTCACTTGTGGTGTATGACAAGGCCTTCTCGACAATTGTTCAATAATGTCGAGTATTGTGTTCTATGACTCGCTTGTCAAGTTTGGTATGCAAAACATCTCCCCTCCAACTTGAGGGGGAGTGTTGGTGAGTCCTTAGTTAGGATTTTGGTTACTTAACTATTTTCTTAGCCCTATTATAATTGAGATTTATTTCTGATTATAATTTATATTTTCTATTGTCCTTTGGATTTATTTCCTATTTTATTTAGGGTTGTGCTTCTTCATCCCCTTATCCCTCCTCCTTTCTCTGCCTTCCCCTCTCTACCTCCTCATTTTCCCCTTTGGCCCGTTGTTGATGTTTTGTTGTTTTGGAGAAAAAAGAGGTGATTGATCGGCTTGTATTTGGAGTTGTTTGAGTCGCAATAATTCCATCAACTCTTTGTGAGTTGGGTGTTCATTTGTGTTTTAGTCTCTACTTGTGAGAGTTGTTGTAGTTGTATTTGTAATTTTGGACATTTTATTTCATGTATGATTTGCTCAGGCGTGTGTATTTGGCCTTTTAGGGTTATTAGTGGAGATAGTGCGATATCGCCGGGGTATCCTCTCCTATATCTGGATGAACCCTTTGCGATTAATGTGCATCCGTCTTTGTATTAACCCTTTATAAGTATTTGGTCAATGTGCCAATTATTAAATACAATTATCGCTCATTTTCAAATAAATAAATAAATAAATAGCACTTCAAGCTATTAATGAAACGGCATCTCTTCTATTATATACTGGAGCCCCTCATCAAACATGAGAAAATGCCAATTAGCTGTGCTCGTAGTCTGGTTTTTTTCTGCGGCCCTTATTTCGTAATCTGTTTGTTTCTGGGCTGACCATTTTCAACTAAATAGAAAGTAAAATTAAAATCAAAAGACGCTTTGATATATGGTCACCATCGAAGACAATCGCCCATTCATGCCAAATTAACCCAGGCCGTTATAATTATGAATTAATTTATCAGCTTCCTAATTAGGGAGGAAAATTCAATGGACTCTTCTATTCCAAACAGCTTGCGCCGGCATATATTAGATCTGTCACAAACCCAACCCAGAGGGAGCCTCCCTTGTCATTTACTCACCAAACCATGCATGATCGGAGAGAGAGAGGGAGAGATCACAGAGGTCATCAGAGATAAACATGTAAATAATTGGAAATCAAAATGTTCTGCTATTGATCAAAACACCAAGAAAAAGTTTGGGTAAACATCATGAACCACAACACTATATATTGAAGAAAGTAAAATCACTACAAAAATGACTAAGAAATCCCAGAAAGATGAACCAACCACCATTTTCACATCATGGGCAGATTTCATAAAATCACTTTGTTGATGGTTCCAATCATTTTCATAGATGATGGGTTTTGTCTCTGACTAGTTCCATATGGCTCCAATATTATATCGACCCATCCCTTTCATCTCACATGAACAATCACATCGCATGTTATTTATGAGAGAGAGAAGGACGAGAAGATCATAAAAGAAAAGAAGTTTGGATATTTTGGACTGGTTTGTGGGAGCTCCTTTGAGGGCCTGGGGATTTTCAATTCCAAAATTCCATCATTTCGGAAATGGAAATGGAAAATGAAAATGCCCCAAGACCCCAAGTTCTAGTCTCCGCATCCACTCTGTTTATATAGGTAGGGAATTAGGGGTTTGTGAAGAAACCCACAAGAGGCAGACCATCATGATGGCCACGTACTTGGCAGCTGTGGCTTATGTGATAGATTTACTTGACTCTTGGCTATTTTATTCCCCTTTTACCCCCAGCCATGATGCTAAGAAAGTTGAAAGTTTTGACCCAAATCCCATTCTACTCGGACGGGATTGGTTCATCTTAGTTTATCTATTGTGGACTTAATCCCTGCATATCCACTGCTACTGTGAATGCCAAGTAAAATTTAAATCATGTCATGACTTCATTTACCACTAATTGACTTAAATTATGAAATCCTTAACGGTCGTTTTTGTTTCTAAATTTACCGCCGTAAACAAGATGTACAATTGATAACAAAATGGTGCGGCGAGAAGTCCGGATTAGCTCAAGGGCCTTAAAAGCTGAATTTATGATAAGATAAGATCAAATCCGAGTACGGAGAAAAATTATTAGAGTTACGACGCAACTAAAACCAATGCAGTTAGAATTAAACAAGACATTCAACTTGCTGAATTTATGATGAATTTGTTCTTATCCTATGCACCATTGGATTTAAAATACGTAATGGATTTGATCTTATCCCGATGCACTTTAAAAATATATATATAGTGAGAGTCTAGACAAAAATGCATCTTGGGGTCGGACTTTTGGCAATAGAGATTTACATTTCATGGAAACACATTTGTAGCCGTTTAGATCAATTAGCTCACGCCTTTCTATTAGGTTATTCGGATATAAAAATGTGTTCCCATTAAAAGGGATTTCGGTTTGAAGATGTAGCCTCGCCTCTTGGCTCTTGCTACATTCAAACAGCCTTCTCTTTGTTTTCCTTTATTGGGTATGCGTAATGTGTATGTTTGGCTTTACCGTATGTGTACGGCTCACAGTTGCGCAATTTGCGTGAGGCTTAACTTTTTCGGTTTCGGCCCCTCAATTTCAGGCTGCTGGTGTCTAGTGACATAGTCATCTTTCTATTTATAGGGAAATTGGCCAAATTAATTTCCAAGTAAACCTTCGTAAAGCTTGCGCACACGTTTTACGAAGGCTTGGAGTAGTAAACATTGTAGATGCAATTACATGGACCGTACACAGATTTAAGGCCCCGTTTGGTTTATGGGAAAGGAGACTTGGGAATGGAAAACCAATTACTTTCCCATGAAAAATGATTTCCCCTCAAATTCATTCCATGAACCAAACGGGACCTAAGAGTAACACATGATGTGGTTCCTATCAAGAAGAAAACATAATATGTAACATTGTGTTAGGATCCCACTCATTTAATGGGTTGTATGTATCCAAGAAATTACGGGACCCAATCATTCAAATCAACCTTACGAATTCCATGTTCCGTATGCGTGTTCACGATCCATTTACAAAAATTTGAAAACTCAACATCGGTTTACCAGAACTCACTCAGTTAGAACCTGGTTTCAGTTTACTTAAAACAAGAAAACTATGAATTTTCAAGGCCATCTGAACACAAGATAATGAAGGTCTTAAGTAAAATATATTCGTGGCATTTCAGTCAATTCAAAGTACAAAAGCAACTAGCACAATAAATATAAAAATACTAGCCAGCGGTCCTTGTGCAATATTTAGCCGAACAACAGATTATAGTTATCCTAAAAATACTGGAAGTAGTCCCCTATACGTCAACAGCAAAAGAGGCAATGAGAAATTTACCCCTTTGGATGCCAAGACCATGTCATTCGAAGAGTGATGAGAGAGAAATCTTCACAACTGAGAAAAATAAACAGAAACAACTTACTGTACAGGCAGCTGTACAAGAATAGATTCCTTGCCATCTATCACAGATCTCCACAAATGTCAGTCATTCATCAAGACTTTTGAAACCAACGTCTTCAATCAGCCCTAATACCTCAAGTTGTGGCTGGCACTGATTAAAAGTTAGAATATTGCACAGCAAAAAAGACTTGATAACACCCAAAATCCATGGAATGATAGTCACCACATCAAAAGACGGCATAGAAAGAACCTTGTATCACCTTCAGAGGGGCTTCTATTCATCCTCTATCTCCACAAGCTGTGCCCGTCTCTCAGCAGCTTTCTTCCTAACAAAGAAACCCCACCTCATTGCTGCTTTAATTTTCAGCCACCCCACAACAGCTTTGCCAGGACGGTTGCGATCTTCGTCATAGCTGGGCATTGGTGATGATATGAATGAGGGGAAGGAATACCCATCATCAGGCACATCAATGGCGCCATGGCCTCCCATACTGAAGATTCTGAGCAAGTGCTGCATATCCTCATTTTCGAGCATCTCATGACTTCTAACGCGAATCTCTTCCTCTGAAAAGAAATCTCGGTTGGTTGTCCAGTCATCTAAAGGATTAAGAGTGGATGGCTGAGAAGAAGAATTGATAGTCTGAAATCCTGATGTAGATGATTGTGGAGGAGCAAGGGCCAGCCCAACAGCATTGGCATCACTTCTTGTGCTTTGTGCCTCATGTGAATTGCTGATCAATTGGTCATCTAGTGCAAATCCACTGCCATCAAACTGGGTGCGAGAGTTGGAATTTACAGGTGGCTGGGTCAAGTATCTTGTTGATAGATTATCATTATACCCTACAGAAATAAACAAAAAACAAAAGAGAACCATAATTAGCAACCTGTCTAGCTAACATCCTCACTGGATGACAGGAAACATCATCACATGCATTCATGTGTGTGCATACGTGATTGTGTGTTGTGTGTGTGTGTGTGTGTGTGTGTGTGTGTGTGTGTGTGTGTGTGTGTGTGTGTGTGTGTGTGTGTGTGTGTGTGTGTGTGTGTGTGTGTGTGTGTGTGTGTGTGTGTGTGTGTGTGTGTGTGTGTGTGTGTCTTAAACTCTTAAGAATGTAAATATAGCATGCAAGGCATAAAAATTTCACGTGTATAGAACAGATTGTGTAGTGTGTGACCAAAAAAGTTCACGTACAATCCATTGGCATTATTGATTACAACCTTAGGCTTGGTTCCGTAAAGATAAATAGTAAAACTTTGCCGGTATAACTATGCTGATGAGCAGTCAAGCAAGTCACAACGAATTTTATGTTCATTTTTGGAGGATTTTACATCTCATAGCTTCAGGATTTTCCAGGTTGTGCTCTGTAGACCCAAGTAAATGTAGCACTACTTATAAATCCTACACTCTATATATTTCGCTTCAAATTATATTCCACACAAGCAAAAAACCCTTTCACTCTTTCAGCTTATCTTCATTGATTAGTTAAAAATAAAGTTTATGAGGCCAAATATGAAACACTGAATACTCATGCAGGCAGCAATGTTTACCTCCGATTGGTAGGGCTGGATCCAATGGAGGTTGCTCTGAGGGAACTGAATTTGTCAGGCGAGGTACTTGCAGTTGATGATCTGAAGCATCGGAGTAACTGATTGGGCCAGTCTGAAATTCAGTTCGGGTTGACCTCTTATTCTGCTTGAAGTTTAGAAGTGACTTGCCATCATACTGAATAACTTGATCCCAATTTTCATATGCTTTCTTCACCAGCGTATCTACATAGACCTGCAAAAACAAAAGCATTATAGAAATTTCATGTATTTGACCTTCCCCCTGTCAATTGTTTAGCATAAAAGATAAAGAATAATATAGTATCATAACACCAAACTGTTCAGTTAGAAACAAAAAGTACATAATTAGTTTATAAGCCTTGAAGTTACCGGGTGTTTTCAACCTAATAACATAACTTCCATACATTTACTAGGAACGAGAGAAGACTACAGCAGGAACAAAGATTTAAAACATAAAGAGCACATCCTCCTAACATGAAATTATCAGAAAATAAAATTAAAATAAAAAAATTTCATCTCCCTACATTAATTCTCCTTGGTGATGGTTTCTGTTTCAACTCTTCCACTATGTGTCAAATATAAACCCTTGCAGCAAAAAGAAAATTTATTTTGAAATATGTAATATAAAAGAACACAAAGATTGACCGACCAAAAAATAAAAAAAGGGAGACCATATTCCAAAAATTAATAAATAAACCAAAAGAAAGAGGTTAATATTCACCTTCTGGCTGTCAGATAGAGCATCAGCAGAGTGAAACTGCTCCCCAGCAATGAGGCCACTCAGCTCATAGATGTTGTTAAAAACAACACCAACATTTCTTGTATCTTCAGGATAATAAACATAAAGCTTCCCACTCAAGACACAAGTCTTTGCATGTTCTAAAAGAGCATCCCACATCTTGTTCGACATACCGCTTCCAAGAATCTATATACAGTATCCAAACAAAATATAAAACATCTACAATGTACAAAATTGTGTAAGTGTTAGTGTGCGCTTTTACAACTCAAACCAAGTCCTACACTTACATTCCGTAATTTCTGAGAATCTCGGACCACAAGCTGAAGAAACTCTTCAACCGTGAATATTCCTGCATTGTTTAGCCTCTTATGGAATGCCCCATCCTTGCCAATCTTCTCCAATCTCCATACGTCATCATTTAATGCTGGTGGGTAGTGTTTCTTGTACACTGTCAAGATCAATGGAAAAAAATAATAATAAAAAATCAACAACAGTGTGCTAGAACAGATAGAAAAAGAAGATATACGCCAGAGCATGAACCTACATTCTCCTCTGTGATCTTTAACAGTAAAAGCTTCTGTCTTAGCTTCACGTATGCGAATGCCCTCACAAAATCCCGGAGCAACTTTCATTCCAAGCCTAAACTTCCTGCTTCGTATCCAACTTGAGTTATCTGTAAACGTCAGATCCCCTAGTGTTCCTACCCCTTCTTTGAGGGTCACTTGCAGTTCCCCAGTCAACAGAGGTCTCTTCCCATCACGCTCTTTCACCACATGGCTATCAAATTCTTCTTGAGTCCAGCCTTCATCATCTTCATTGTTGAAATCACCTTCAAGCACAACAACATCCAGTTTTACAGAGGATTCAGGTCCCGAAGTCACAACTCGCTGTGTGTTTCTATCAACCAAAACAACATGAATTGCAGCACCCTGCTCGCCTTCAACTTTCCCTCCTGTGAAGATCTTCAATCCGTTTTGGGGAAGACCTGAAATGTCAAATGTCAGAAACTGTTTTACCACAACATGATTGAACATATAGTTCATGGCGACATTTTTTTTGTAACTTTTTTATTTTGCTAAAATAATTCATGGTTGTGATGACTGACATCAGGGAGCATTGAAACAAAATATCTTACATTAAAAAGCATCTAGCATTACTCTCCTTTTTGCAAAAATTTCCTTTCTGATATCATATAAATGATTAGAAATCTGGATAGGCAATCCTTGCTTATCCTGATAACTGAACAGGATTGCTTGTCTATAATTCTTAAAGGGGTTAACTATTTTGCTCTATTATATAAATGATTAAAAAAAAAGTTCATTCATTATAAAAATAAATAAATAAAATTCTCATAAATAATTTTTTGACCTTCCATTAACTCTCGGAGGGCCTAACTTAGCCAACGCACGTTCCACTTCTTCGCTTACCTGTAAACCAGTAAAAGAATAAGCGCTACAGATCAAGAGCATAGACAGAGAATCCCAATAGGTCTCTTATGTTTTGACCATAACTAAGACAGATCGTGCTACATAACCAACAAACAGTTCATTTATAAGAAAGCAACTATCCTGCATAAAAATGCAAAAGAATCATCTGAACCTTTAATTGTTTAAATACTTCTAGTTTGTCTTCTCTTTATACATGATACCAACATCAAACTAAGACAAATTGGAAGTACTAAAACTATGTTAATGAACAAAAAAAAATTGTGCCTTGATTTAGGTTTCTTCATTTGAACAAATCATTTTTTACTAAAATGACTAATGATGTACCCTGCCCTAAAAAAAATTTCAGTTCATAAGATTTAATCACTATTCCAAGAGTCAAGAACGCTCTGACTTAGCTTTTAACCCACCACTAAATAAATTTAGCTTCCATCACTCTTTTCAATATAAACAAAACTAAGTTACATACACTACACAAAATTCTTGGTCACCTTTAAAAATATAGCTTTAAAATTTGGTTGAGAAGTAAAAGAGTTTTAAAACAATGTTCTTGCTAAAAAAACCAAAGGTCTTATATATCAAACTCTTTTCCTAATAATTTTTCTTTATGTTACCACCAATCTCTGGAGTGGGGCATGACAAACCTCTCTTAGTCACCAACCCCAGGTCTGGGCACAATAGATTTGGTGTTAGAGGAGTTACCCACATAAAGAGAAGTAGGAGATGAATTTCAACACAAATAATCAGTAGTATTCTCATAAACATTCAGAAGGAACTGCAATGTCAGAGAATTATATTTTCAGATGATACAGTTAAAACTAAAATACTCTGCAAATCAAACACATAACAATAGCCAGGCTATCGTCTTCTTTAACAACCAACTCAGTTAAAGAAAAAATAGTCCACATATCAAATGCATGAGCCTGAAAAGGTATTGACTAATAATCAACTCTCCATTGATTATGTTAATCACTGTTTCAAGCTCAACAGTGAAACAAGCATATGGTAACTTTAAACTATCTTTTAATTTGTTCAGCTTTATCAGCCCAAACGTACATTGGATAACCAGTACTAGTAACTATCTTCAAAAAAGGAGGGATAAAATCGTCACATATGAAAGGTATCAAACACAAGCATGGAAAGCAGGAGTACATATAAATATCTCTCAGGTATGGATAGGCCACTATGGAACTTCCTCACAATCAGTCTTCTTTGGGCAACAGAATCAAATGTATTAAAAGCAAAATTTCTAGTATACCTACTATGATAATGGATCCCCATACACACTCAAAAGAGAAAGAGAAATAGCACCAGTGCCAATAATGTTGACATTCTGAATACAAATCAAAACACTACCACCAAAATGATGAGGACACTATAATAGATGTATATGCGGGCACTCATAGAGTGGGGGAAGAAAAAGAAAAAAAAAAACCTAAAAAGAAGTGACTAGAGATTTGAATAGAGTATGGAAACCACAGAGTTAACAATAAAGAAAAGTAGTTAGAAGAAAGAAGGACAAAATAAGCACACAGGCTACAATGATGTTAAACCAATAATTCATATTACACTAATCAATTAGAGAATGCATAAACAAAAGGTACCCGAAAATAAAATTTTGAAACACACTTACAACTCTACGAAGAATAGGTTCCAATGATGAGCATAGCTTCTGCAGACTGTCCACCTTGAGAGCTTCTATAATTACACTGCAAATATATATTCAATGGAATATAAAGAACATGATAGAAGACATATTGAACCTTTAGACAAAAATTCATTTAAGTGGCTAATTCATGCATGCAGAAACTTATGCCCAATACAAACAGAGGAACATAAGGGAACATACAAAAGCACCAGACATATGATCTTGAAACTGAAATGAGAAATTATAAAGGAACCGCAAAAATAACAAGTCATTGGGTGTGTCTCAATGAAGAGTTATAGTACCAAATACAAAAATATCACAATCTGATGAGAACAACATGCTGTAATTGTGCTGTGCAATGGTCATGAAATACGCTAAAGTTAAAATCATATGTCACTCTTATCTTCTTCTAAGCAAGTCATTAAGAAATTTGAGGTAACTTAGCATTTACTCAAAAACCACTTCTAATCGACAACTAAATTAGTCAAAGAAGCACATTGCTCTAGTTCTCGAGTGCGCATCAGAGCAACTAGACGGTCCAAATATAACTATATCAGCTCAAACTAAAAGGGGTTTTTCCTACAATTCTCAAATTATACGACTAATTATTCAAATTAGCAAGCAAAGAATATAATCAACAAAAAGAATTCACATAATCAATTGAAATTAAACAAGACGAAATCCGTTACCTAGCGAGAGCCGGCCGCTTTCGTTCCGGCTGCTCCTCCTCTCCCCCTTCCATTGGCCTTTTCCCTCTCATAGAGTTGGTCCTCTCCATGAGTCTAGTCTGCCTCTGCATTTTATACCGATTTTCAGAACCCTAGATTTCCAGATCTGCAGAACACCAGAAAATCAAAAACAGCTACTTCACTACCAAAACTCACATCAAGAAATGCATAACAGCTAAACACATAACTATCTACAAACTTTTCAAAACTAAACTGAAATTCAACAAACAAAAAAAAAGGTCCATCAAATTTAAACCATAATACCTCGTTTTCTGCTGAAATTTGGAGTGATAATAGAACTGAGCTGTGCGGAGAGGTTATATTTGTCTGTCAGTTTCTTAAATTTGCAGAGAAAACGCGCGAGAAAGTGAGAGAAAGTAGTTTCTGTTTGGAGAGAGAACGAGAAAATGGGGAACCTGAAATAAGGGCGAGCAGTCTCTATTGAGTCTACTCTGGCGACTCTTCAGCAGAAGTGTCAATTATCCAGTGCTTCTTCGACCACGGTACTCGCTTCTTCTAGTTATGCCGTTTTATGTCAGGGGAAGACGTTTTGGGACGATATGGCACGTGGCATGAGTCCATTGGATGATATAAAGTGTTGCGTAGGTAAATAAAATCGCTGGCAATGTCTGTAATTGGGGTCCACTTTTCGGTCAATGCTTTAAGATTGTCCGGAGGCAATGTTGTGTTGAATCGTGACCGTACGTTTGACGGCCGAAAAATGAAATATAAAATTAGTTAAATTACCGGCCGAAGAGATATTAATTAAAATGACGTCACTTGATGGAGGTTGGCTTACGTCCTTTCTTTGTCTCTTTTATTTTCAATAAACTTTTTATTTTTCTCTTCTTTTCTGTTTTTTTATTGTGTTTTTTTATTTTCCTTTCTTATTAGTTTTGGTATTTTGTAGGTTTTCTTAGTGACATTATTCACTCCTTTCTAATTTTGTACGAAATATATAGTTTGGGTAAAAGAGGGATTCAAACGTGACCTCAGGTGTACGGATAACTACTCTTCATCACTTGAACTACAAGCATATAAGTAAGGGGAGAAATAAAAATGAAAAAAGAGTAGTGGTTATTATTGTAGAATAATAACGTGGCGAAACAATTGTGAAAATGATATTTTAATTATTATTTTATTAAAATAAATTTAAATTACATGTTCAATTTATTAATATCTATTTTCATTATTATTTTTATTTTATTTTTAAAGTTTACGATGAGATTAGCTATTCTCACCACAAACGCCAAAGCAAACCCACAACCTAGAGCCGTAAAAATTTACATGTGGCACCAAACTGCCAACTACCACCGATATGGTTTATGGACTTACGCATGATAAAATTGGACATAAAGAAATGCTTTTATAAGGGTTGACAAAAAGGCTCCTCTCTTAGCACTAGTAGATGCAGTAGTACATAAAAATGAACTTCACTTATTTTTTTTGCACTTAACTGAGAAACATTTACAAATTGCATATGTAATGCACTAACGTGGAACCCTATAACATTCAGACAAGATCAATCATATAACAAAAGATTTCACTTTTTTTATTGCTAAAGTTCAAAGTAGTATGCACACTTACAAATGACAGGCTCATAGAACCCAGAAGTTAACCAATTAGTTCTTGTGGTTGGGTATAGAATATACTATTATTCTAGGGAGACTTTTCCCGCAAAGACAGACTGCTCTATGAAAATCTCCTGCCCACCCTCCTCATGACTCTAACCATGTAATGAGGAAGCTCGCTTACCACCACAGCATATTGACACGGGGGTTGGTGGGAGGCATGGATATTTGTGTGTGATGAGTCATATTGGAGTTTGAAGCTACTATTCGTCCAATTGCGTATTTATGACAGCCCCCAACCCTCAGTGTCGGCTAATGATTTTAAACAGGGTAATGATTTCTCTATTCTAATTTTATCCACTTACATTTATTTTTTAGTTATAAAATAGAGTGTAAGTGAATAAAATTAGAGTGAGAAAATCACCACTCTTTAAATATTACAATTTACATATATAAAATATGAGTCAAGTTGAAAATCATTTAAATAATTAGTTTATCATAAGTTATTTCAGTGTTTATTAAAAAGGTTGACTCATTTTTTACTTTGGTAAAATAAAATTGGATGTGACAATTTGCGCCTACCACATGTGATGACACTTGGAAGGGTCTCTCCAAAATGAAGATTTAAAAATAGGTTCAGATCCTTTTTTATTTTTGTTGTAGAAAGGACTTATAACTTTCATAAAAACTTCGAAATGCAATACAGCTTCGAGGCCGCCTTAAGTCGCATCGGTGTGAGTATTATTCAACTTGCCGTTCGCTTGGAAGCGACATGTTATTAGTCCAATTTTGACTCTGAAATTTGCAATTGCCAATAACTTAAATTCCCTTTTTTTGGCATATTAAATTGTTGCATAAAGTCGGGGTCAGACACATTATCTCCCTGTCATAATTCTTTGCTTTATCAATAAGTTTCTCTCATTCCGTCGAGATTCTCTAAAAAAAAAAAAAAAAAAAAAAAAATCTCACGTGATGGGTTAGGGTGAGATTTGGGATAGGGTTTGGTATTTATACCTCCCACTAAAGAGTCACACAAATTCCTAATTTTAAAAAAAATCCATCGAAATTAGCAAGTTTTTGAATACCAAAAGACTTTTTATTACTTGTTTAAAGTCTTGATTGAATACCACTAGATTTGGACACCCTCTTTAAAATATCCTAATAGTCATGATTGAATATCACAAGACTTATTTAGATTATTTAAAATTCTTAATTGAATACCACAAGACTTATTTATTCCAAAATAGTATTTTTAAAATCCTAATTGAATACACCCCCCGTAGGATTGAAAGTGAATTTTTGTCTCTAATTTCCAAAAACTGCAGGATTGAAACAGCTCAGCAATTCCCGAATAACAGAATTGTGACTTAACATGTTTGAGACATTTGATCCAAGAGTAAGCTATGTCATTCTCATGAACACATGATAGGAACGTTTTTGAAATTTAATATGATTTTGTTTGCATGATTTTCTCTAATCTTAAGTCAATCAAAATCCCTTTAGGAGTGGATTTCATTTATTTATCAATCAATCAATCTTTGTTTTGAAGGACTATTTTTCAAAGCTTTCATCATATTTTCAGTCTATAAACTTTGGAAAACTGAGTTTTCCTTTACTTAGAAGATAAATATCAGGAAAACTTGATACTTTATATAATGCAAGGAATATTCAACTTTTTGTGTGCGGACTGTGGAGTACAGCGTTTATGTGTGGTTATAAACGGCTAAGATTAGCGTGTACCATATACAAACAATTAATTCAACATGATATAATCCCTCCCCTACACTTTTGTCTTTACGAGAAAGAGATGACAGACCAAAAGGACATGGACCAAAAGAAAACCTTTCTATAATATCCATTATCCAGTATTTCATTTCTTTGGCAATCAACCAGATAATTAGAGAAATGGAAGAAAAAGAAATAGAACCTTTGTAGGATAATTGACAGGAGATATCCTTTGGTAGCATCATCACCATGGGCAGGACAAAACCTAGAGTATAGTAAAATGTGGTGGATACTATCTTATAGGCTATAGCTCAAGTTGGTATTAGGGATATGCAAAGCCAGCAATTCTGACCGTTGATCGACGTTGCCCCTACATTTGATCAATGATCAGAAATCACCGACAGGTGCATGAGCAACAGACCTTAGTATTCTCGTATGTGTAAAAGTGTAACAGCATAACACACAACACCTTGGTAGGCAAATTACATAAGCACCCTCCAATCATTGGACAGCATTAGTGGAATTTCAAAGCGTCGGGACACGAAACGGGAGAGAAAGAAACTGGACAAAGGCATTTTCTCGTGTCCTAACTCGTAAGCGGGATGCATCATACAGGCAAGAAAAGGCGAAAGAGACCCATCCTAAGATAGGAGGGAAAATAAGTATCCCATTGTTAAATTTACTCATTTGCCCTTGCATTTAAGAAATAAATTAATAATATTAAAAAATATGGATAAAATACAACTGTCCTTCCCTTATTTTTCCCTATCTCCTCCTATCAAATTATAGAGAGTATAAGCAAATGAACTGTCACACACTCCCTTATCTTTTATTCCCCAGGGGGTGAGGGAAGGCATTATGAGGGCTAAAAGCCATTGGCATACGGACAAAATAGCCACAAGGCCAACGCATGAGACCAAAATGTAATTAACAAATATATAAGAATTGCAAGTTGTGGAAAGATTTACTTGAATTCATAGTTGCAAATATTTTAATTGTTTTGAGATTGGCTAAGTTCTTCAAGCCTTCTGTAAACTTTAGTGAGGGCTTCGTTGCAGACCTTAGGAGATGTGCAGGGTCCGCACATGAGATATATGACATGTCCCAAAGGCCTCATGTAAACTCCGTCTTCACGGAGCTTCTTCAGAAGGGAGCTTGCATACAGTGACCCATACCTATTCAAAATTCACAGAACAAAACATTTCAAACAAGGGTTATAAAGATTACAGGACACAGCGCAGCGCTGAAATTGTCAGCTATCGCAATGTTGAGTCAAAAAGCTACCGTTGATGATAACACTGTAATCATAGCATAGCATTATGATACATGGAAACTTGTTCTTAATCTATGAACTATACAAGCACCTCTACATCTTGTCCACAAGCGAAACATTCATGCACACATACATACATACTACGTACATACACACACACACACACAGAGATAAAAAGATATATCTATAAAATAAAAATCTATTAATTTTTAGAGTAAATATTAAAAGATAGAAGAAGATGTAATGATATAAGGGGTTGGCTGGCCGATTGAACAGGTGACTTCAGGCCAATGATTTTAAAAGTCAACTTGTGGTCTAAATTGTTAAAACTCATAACATTGGAACAATTGCTAGCATCATTATGCTGCACATATCGTATAGGATGATATGGTATTACTAAAGAGGCACATGATATTTCAACTTATAATTTTCCAAAGGGTACGGGATGATTTGGTGTATGTGGGGGAACCACATAAACATACAAAGTAATAAGACCATACCCAGCGTTGCAGCCTTCTACTCGGAGCTCTAGAGCACAAAGCGTTCCCAACACAACTACTCTTTGAATTGCAGGATGTGAAGAGATCTGGTACACTAGTTTGTCATCCCATAACTGCAAGCATTTGGAATGATACCATGTGGAAAAAAAAATTTAAAAAAAAAAAAAACAGAAAAGGAAAGGAATAAAAAAACCACACACAATGACACTGAAAGAACAGCAAGTTCTAACAAAATTTTAAAAGAACAGGTTTCAGAATTTAACTATTTTAGGCTCCAATACCATGTTGAAATATGGAACCAATTAAGCATCATAATGATGTAAAACCCTTTTTTTTTTTTTTTTTGGTCTCATAATGAATTAAATCTCAGGCTAAACACATTAAGCTACCCCTTTTGCAATTCTTAACAGCTCTCTCTCTCTCTCTCT